CAGTAAACTTGTCAAGCGTTGACCGGTCCGCAGTGATAAAAAGGTTGGGGACCACTGTACTATAGCACAAACTAATGGCCGCTATGACAGACAGATGGCAGAACACACAATGCATCACAGCTTGTCACATATAGGGTTGCGTACTTGCAGGCCAGTCAGAGAGTCCATGTTGAAAAACCAGTCTGATCCATGGAGGCCTCACATCACAACTTCCAATACTGAAAGTGTCTGCTGCTAATGTCTTGGTGTCAGATGGCAGAGGATGCCTTTAGAGGTTCTTGATGGGTTGTGGCTACACAAGGGGGGACCTACCCAGTATTATGCAGGTGGCTTTAATGTTGTGGCCGATCATGTATGGTACATACCATATCTAGAGGCACGGAGGTTTATAGCATTTAGGAGAAAACACTTTGTGAAGATGTATTCAAGAAAATTTCTATTTTCAAATGCAGCAGTTTTCAACAACCTCTAAATGTGTAACACCACACACAGATAATATATGGTAACTTTATGTAGAAGCTAAACATAATAGAACTTAACTGCCTTTCTTTAATTACCACCCTTTTTTTTAGATGAAGATGACAGATATAGTATGATATTATGATACTTCTGAGTCATACAAAGGATGCATTCATAGAGATGAATTATTTATTTGATCTGATCAATTAGTTATAAGTTAGCAAGTAACGATTAATTTTTGGAGAAATTTGCTGTACTTATATTTCTAGTCTAGTAAACTGTAGAGATCAGGAAATGTCTCCAATAATGTCGTTCTTGCAGCAGATTATTGTGATTACTAATACCAGGTGTCATTTAATTAACTGGGTCACATTAGCTATGACAAATTTAGTTTATTTATTTTTCCCAACAGGTTACAGGAATTTCAGTGCTGAAAATGTTTTTAGATACTCTGTCAGAACATTGCACTGAGGTACTTAACCCGTCTCAACACCGTGAGCTGATTTGTGGACAGCTTAGTTAGTTGGGTAATGAATTGCACATGTGTATGCTGAAGTTATAATCTTTGTCATTGTGCCAGAAACAGTGGAAGCTACAATATATCATACTTATTTTAAAAACTGCAATGTGAAAACTAAATTAAAATGCCTTCTGTTACACAATAAGCATGATTAAAAAATGATCTTGGATACTGATAGAAACAGAAATTAGCCTGTTGTGTTATATTCTGTGTGGCTGCTGCAATAAAGTATAGTTAACATCCGTGTCCGCACCGGGTCTTCGCTGTCCCCAACACACCTCTGGTATTGGGTCACTCCTGGCTGGTCCAACACAACCCCTCCGTGGACTGAACCACTGGAACCATCACGCAGTGGAGCCCCACCTGTGCACAGACCTGTCTTCTGGCTGGACAAACCACCACATCCATGCCTTCTACACCTCCAGAGCCCCCTGACTTATCATCGATTTGGATCATTTTCCAAATGGAGCCAAAACAACAGATGTATTGAAAAGTTTTGCCATCAAGAGTTGCATGAAGAACGATGGAGCCTGAGGAGGAAACATAGGCGGGGGCACAGGTTGGGGCATGAATGGCCGTACCATTGGTCCATATGGCATATACCTCTGGAAGCGGTACCTCTGGAATACACAGAAAACCAAAACATTTTGTATTATAAAATTATATAGAAAATAGTTATTTATAGTACAAATCGAATGTTTTTGTGGGAAGGAGAATCTATTCTAGAGATACTGACCTCATAACTGTTCGAGCTTGAGCGTTTGACTCGGTCATTCTCCTCCTCAGAGACCTTTAAAAGTGAAGATTTTAATATCACAGACTACTGCAAAAACTTGCATTAATCACTTTCCATCTGAACTAAATGTATCATAAACTGGTGAAGCCCTAAACAACATGGTAGGTCACAGATGAAAGGTACTTACAGGAGAGGTATAGCCTACAGCGATGATGCACAGAACGAGGATTAGCCGTTTCATGGCTGAAAAATAGAGGAATTCTTCCTGAAGGTGAACCTGAAAAGGAAACAAGCAACATTTCTATTTCAGTTATAGGCTACACTTGTAAACTATGAATCATCTCCAGAGATGAAAATGTTACCTTTAAAAATCAAGAGCGATGCTGACACAGCGGCCAAACCCAGAAGCCAGTGGAGAGTTTGATC